GAGTTTATGCTTTTCAAAAAGTGTTTATAAACTAACAAACTACACAGAAACAAGGTTTTTAAAATATCCTTCTTCATCAATTTTGTTCATCTTGCCTTTCTGAACTGTTTTAACATGAAGGAACCCTTGAAATACCATTCTGGCCTCATGGAACCCTTTCTTAACCACTTGCCCTCCTGAGGATTTCCCCACTTCCCGACCAGGCAATTTTTCGCATTACGGAGCTACGTTACTTCAACTGACAGTTGCACATTACAATACTGCACCCAAATGAAATTTATGTCCTTTTTCTCCCACGAATTGAGCTTTCTTTCAGTGGTATTTGGTCACCTGTGCGGCTTTTATTTTTCGCGCTATAAAAGAAAAAAGACTGACAATTTTGAGAAAAAAAATAATATTTTTTGCTATTAAACATGTCCAGTAAAAAATTTTTAAGCAATCAAATTTCATCATAAATTTAGGAAAAAATGTATTCTGACATGTCTTTGCTAAACAAAATCCCAATACGTGTAAATTAATTGGTTTACGTGAAAGTTATAGCGTTTACAAATGGCGGTATAGAAACTGGAATTTTTTTTATTTTTACTAGTAACGGTGGCGATCATTGACTTATAGCGGGACTGCAGCGGGCATTCTGACACTGGGGGGGGGAACAGACTTGGTGTCAATTACATCCCCAGTGACACCAATACATTGATTAGTGCTAAAAAAAAAAAAAGCACTGACACTGTACTAATGGCACTGGGCAGGAAGGGGTTAACATGAGGGGTAATCAAAGGGTTAACTGTCTGCTGTTTCACTGTGTGCGCGCGCTTCACTATAATCACACTGCTTTGGATGGCTGTGCTGTGAACATTCATCCAAAGCAGTGTGCATGAGCTCCCTGTCGGAGATGCTCGGCAATCACCGGGTGCCGGCAAGTAATCACTGGTCGGGACGCAGTGATGGACAGCCGCGAATGGCCCTCTCCGGAAATGCAAAGTCACATATATACGTGATTTTGCGCACCCGTGCCGCCCTGTAGAAGTATATCTGCTATAGGAAAAGGAAAAAAATGGTGCTTTCCTTTTCCATGTTATTCTATCCAGGTGTATAGCCAGGTGACAACAGCTGCTTCCCAATCTTAGGTTATAGGTAAATTCTAGCTAGCGCAGGTGGTTCATATACATATCTGCTATAGGGCGATCGGGAAGCGGTTAACTCACAAATTGTTCGTTCATGCAACACTGTACCCAAATTAAATTTTATATAATTTTTTTCCAAACACAGTTTTCTTTTGGTGGTATTAGATCACCACTGGGTTATTTATTTTATATAGTATATAAATGAAAAAAGCCTGAAAATAAAAAAAAAAAACAAACAAATTCCATTCTGCTATAAAGCATATCCAATTAAACAGTAAAGCAATTAAATGTATTCATAAATGGAGGCCAAAATGTATTCTGCTATATGTCTTTGGTAAAAAAAAAAAAAAAAAAAAAAAAAAAAAAAAACTTGTAGCTCCTGACTTTTACAATGCAGACACTTACCTGTCCCTCGGTCCAGCGGTGTCCTCACCACCGCTGGTTTCCACGGCCGTTTTTTCTCCCTGACGCCGGCAACTTTAGTGTGGGCACCCGGCTGTGACAGCTTGCAGCTTCACAGCCAGGTGCCCACTGCGCATGCGCGAGAAGCGCTGCGCTTTGTGAATGGCCCCGTAGTCTTCTGGGACCTGTCACGTGTCCCAGAACACTACAGGGAGGGAGGGAGGACAACAACTTCTGCTTCCAATCGCCTAGGAGATCGCAGTGGGAGTGGGTACCTGTTAAATTCGGGTACCCGCTTGCCCAAAGGTGCCAATCCATAATGGGGAGAAGGGGACAAAGGCTTAAAGCAGAACTTCCCTTTTGGGTGGAGCTCCACTTTAAATTGACAGGACTAATCTGTGTACCAGATGAGTACATAGCCAGATTGTGGGAGCCAGAATTATTGTTGGTTGGTAAGGGAGCAAATAATTATTTTACAAACTGAACTGCAACTCAATTTAGAACATTTGTATCATGTGTTATTTCTGGATTTGTGGTTGATATTCCGTCTCTATCATTTAAAATACACATATGAAAAAAATTATAGACCTTTCATTTCTTTGTAAGTGGGCAAACTTCCTAAAATATTTAGGGTATGAAATACATTTTTTCCCCACTGTATGTATTCTTAAGGCCCCTTTCACACGGCGACCTAATCAGGTCCACCTGTCAGTTTTCACCCACCTACCTCCGGGTCTGATCTGGCCTGCTAAAAATAAATGGATGAGGATTGCATTCCCTTCTGCTTGGGTGGATCAGAGGGCAGTTGTGTGTAAACGGACAGCAGAGTCTACTCCTGGCCACCCATAGAGCAGAGAGAATTGCCTAGACAATCACAGCGGAAGTGGGAGTGGTACCTGTCAAATTCAGGTACCCGCTCCTCCCTGCTCCCCAAAGGTGCCAATCCTTAATGGGGAGCGTGGGACAAAAACTAAAGAGCGGAACTTCCCCTTTTGGGTGGAGCTCCACTTTAAGTCACTTCTGGTCTCCAGTTGTCATTCCTCTGCTATTGTAGCTGGGGATGCAGCTAATCAAGCATCGGCTGTGCTTGATTAGATATATGCGGAAGGCAAAAGGGACACTGGGGGTCTAAAAGGCCCCGATTTCTCCAAAAAAAGAACCTGCCATCTGTTCATATTCCACTTCCCCATGTGTGGTATACCAACTAAATGAGTTTCCGTCTTTAGACTGATCCAAAAATAAATCAATCATTTATCAAAGTGGATATGGCCACCGAAATATGCACTGGCAGATTTTTTTTTTCTTCACACGTAGTCACACGAAGATTTAGATGGACTTGATTAACAAATTAAAGCTGAACTCCAAATAGTACCTTGCAAGCAGTTACAGCAAACATTTTTTTTTCCTTTTGGGATGAAGAATTTAGATAAATGAATAAAAAACTGATCATTGCAAACACCCTTGTCAGTGGTAAATGGTTTGTCTCAACCCCTCTAACTGCCACTGGGCTGGAAGCTTGATCAGTTGCAGGAATATGAAAAACTTTTGTCACTTCCTGGAACATGAACTGCAAGTATAAATCAGGTATCTTATTCATACAAACAATTAATCCCATTATAGTCCATGTAGTGGAGAATTACAAAGGCAGATATGCTTGAATTCCAGCGTGGGTGCAACCACGGCTCTCTCCATAGACACAGTGGAGGAGTGAGCATAGCCATCCTGGAACAGGAAGTGTGTCATTCGCAGGGTCACCAGGTGAATATAGAGTAATGCAGGCAATAGATGGTTAGTTTATCGGCCGAATTTTTGTCCGAAAAAACGAAACACTGGTCGTTCTGTTGCCACCAATGATTACGAAAATCGTCCGTTTTTCGTAAATTTTCGAACATGACCGATAAAAGAAATGAGGAACTGCAAAAATCGGCCGATGACATTGCCCCACTAACGGTACGAATATCTTTCTTTCGGACAAAAATTCAGCCGATAAATGAACCGTCTATGGCCGGCATAACACAACCTGAAAATAGAAGAAGAATGTGGCCGCCTCATCTAGTAGGACTGGTAAGCTGTTATAGATTACGTTTTTGGGTTTAAAATGTAAGCAAATACAGCAAAAATGACCATATCTTGGAAATAAAAAATGTACTATTTTAATAACCTGCTTTATTTGTCATTTAAGTAACAACTAGTTTTGTTGGATGCAGCAAATCCAATACTTAGAGATCATACAGGTTCATACATTACCAGGGCAGCCTATGCCAGAAGTAGATCATACCAGACTACTACAGTCACACACACAATCAGACTACTACAGTCACACACAATCAGACTACTACAGTCACACACACACACAATCAGACTACTACAGTCACACACAGACTACTACAGTCACACACACACACACACACACACACACACACACACTACTACAGTCACACACACAATCAGACTACTACAGTCACACACAGACTACTACAGTCACACACAGACTACTACAGTCACACACAGACTACTACAGTCACACACACACACACACACACACACACACACACACACACACACACACACACACACAGACTACTACAGTCACACACACACACAGACTACTACAGTCACACACACACACACAATCAGACTACTACAGTCACACACACAATCAGACTACTACAGTCACACACAGACTACTACAGTCACACACACACACACAATCAGACTACTACAGTCACACACACACACACACACAATCAGACTACTACAGTCACACACAGACTACTACAGTCACACACACAATCAGACTACTACAGTCACACACAGACTACTACAGTCACACACACACACACACACACACACACAATCAATCAGACTACTACAGTCACACACACACACAGACTACTACAGTCACACACACACACAGACTACTACAGTCACACACACACACAATCAGACTACTACAGTCACACACACACACAATCAGACTACTACAGTCACACACAATCAGACTACTACAGTCACACACAATCAGATTACTACAGTCACACACAATCAGACTACTACAGTCACACACACAATCAGACTACTACAGTCACACACAGACTACTACAGTCACACACACAATCAGACTACTACAGTCACACACACACACAATCAGACTACTACAGTCACACACAATCAGACTACTACAGTCACACACAATCAGACTACTACAGTCACACACAATCAGACTACTACAGTCACACACACACACAATCAATCAGACTACTACAGTCACACACACACACAATCAGACTACTACAGTCACACACACACACACAATCAGACTACTACAGTCACACACACACACACACACAATCAGACTACTACAGTCACACACACACACAATCAGACTACTACAGTCACACACACAAGTCTTACAGCCAGTTCATAAACATTTTTTGGCCAGGATCTCAATGTCTCCATTGTCAGTGGTAATCATGGCCCCCAGTACACAACCCATGCCTGCTCATAGGAAACAAACAAGCATGTGTATTTCTTCTGAGAAAAGCTTTCACAGCATGTCTGATCACTTTGCTGGTCTGGCAGAATATTTCACATTGTTTCCCCATTTATTTTAAATGTCTGGATTTGTTTAACTATAAACAGAAATACTACATATCAATTAAGCCTTGAGCTCTTTGATTAACACTTGGCATCCAGTCTCCAGAACGCTCTGATTAGATAACTGAGCTGTAGAAAATATTATGTAAACGAGGAGATTGCAAACTAGAAATACAATGGTTACCAATAACTCACCATTAACCCCTTCCTGCCTGCACCGGCATCCTTTTAACAACTTCAAGTCTGGACACTTTCGCCTCCTTCCTGTCCAGGCCAATTTTCAGCTTTCAGCGCTATCACACTTTGAATGACAATTGCACGGTCATGCAACACTGTACCCATATGAATATTTTAGCATTGTTTTTGAGATAGATAAAACTTTATTTTGGTGATATGTATTCACCACTGGGATTTTTATTTTTTTGCTATATAAATAAAGTCCAAACATTTTGAAAAAAAAAGTGTTTTTCTTATAAAATTTTGCAAATAAATAATCCTTTCTTCATAAATCTTGGCCAAAATGTATTCAGCAATTTTTTTAATAAAAAAAATAACCCAAATTAGTTTATAACCAAAAATTATAATTTTTCTAATTTTTTTTTACATTCTTATTTTATTTTTTTATATTATTTTTTTTTTGTTTGTTAACATACCATCACCATAGTGACACTGTACTACTTGTGGGGGTGATGAAGATTTTTTCTTCTTTTTTTTACACTGATTGCTTTTACACCCATAAAGGATGTAAAAGCAATCATTTCTCCTTCTCTCTGGCTGCATTCTTGCAGCCATTGAGAAATACTGTGAGAGCTGATTGGTCACAGCTTGTCACATGAAACAAGGCTGTTGTGAATAGCCTTGTACCATGTGATATCTGTGATCATTCACAGATTTCACTAGTAGTAAGCAATGATATCAGTAAGTGACATCTTGCTTTACTACTATTCATGTGATCATCGATTGGCCAATCAGTGATCACATGAATGGGGACCTCACACAGTGCGCCCCCTACCCAGAAATGCAAAATCACAAATATATACGTGATTTTGCGCAGCCCTGCAGCAGTATTTCTGCTATAGTGTGACAGGCAAGTGGTTAATAGGAATCATTTAAAGGTTATAATGATAAATGAATTTGTCAGACAAATTTACCCTCTTACCTTGCAATGAATTCCAATAATCACCCAAATGTATTAAGTTCAAGATGGAGCCCGCAAGCAAACTAAACTGGAGCCTTTCCCCTACAGTGCCCCCTAGTGACAGAAATGCATATTACTCTTGTTTGAGAACTGCATTGAGCAGTACAGTGTTACTTGAATTCTATTCCATGATTTGCTTGTCTTCAGCTGAGAGAACATGCAATATTTTAAGACTACATAAAGTCTGAGAAATCTTTCATTTAGGTGTTCATGTTATACAGTTTTAACACCATGTCATAGATATATTATTTATCATTGTAAAAGAACATATTCCACGATCTTTAAAAAAAAAAATCCACAAAAAAAAAAAAATCAGCTGTGGAAAAAAACCTGCTTTTTTCCCCAATTTTTCTTTTTTTTTTCAAGGCTGTTCCATCTCTAGTCTGGACCAAAAGATGTCTTTGACAGCTCGGTCTTTGTGCTTTGAGCACACTCTTGGTACATAAACATCGGCCACCCAGTGACACATAGGTGTGGTGTGTAGGCATTGAAGTTCACCCTTTTGCCGCCACACATATGTGTTGGGCAGTTGTAAAGGGGTTAAAAGTCGGTTTTACCATCCCACCCCAGCTGCCCACTCGTACTCCTAACATTACAACCTGACAAGGCTGTAAACATGCTGCAGCATTTTTAACTCAGGCTGAAGAGTTTGACAGGCAGCCCTAACTGTTAAATTCAACCATGGAGATCAACAGGACTGCATTGCAACCATGAGCCAAACACTTGTCTTGCAGTTGCAACACAGTCCCACAATGCAAAAAAAATAAAAAATTTAAAAAATCAGGACTGCCCTTACGTTTGAATAGAGGAGAGCAATTAGAGCACCTGCCAGATTTATATTGTGGTCTATGCCCCCATTAGGGCGATTCACCCTATTTGTCCTGTTTACCATTATCATTGAAAGTGAATGAAAATCCCAAATTTTGGGCTTTCACCAGTAAAGAAATACAGAAAGAATCTTCCAATGCGGACACTAGTTCATGGATTTCTTTACTTTGGATGGATTTCCTCTCTCTTCCTGTTTTGGCCTATTGGACAGGAAGTGAAGGGAAATCTCCACAACAGGACACAAATGGCAAAAAAAACTAACGGGTTATAACCCTCTCTTACACTATCCAAAAAGGAAAAAAAAAAAAGTTTTGCCTTCAGTTCTGGGCTTTAAGATATTAGTGTAAGATTTCTTAATATGAACATTTTTGACTGTAATAAAGAGACCCTGTCACCAACATTAAAAAAAAATGACAGGAACAAGCACAGAACACTCAAGTATTTCAATTGCTTACTTGCAGTGTCCTTACTTTCCATAAATTTTTTTTTTTTTTTATTTAACCTCTTCACGCTGGCCGAACGCAAATGTGCAGCCTCCTGGCGTCTGGGCCTAGATTCAGAGCTGCCGCACATTTGCATTCTATTAAAAAAGGACATATGTGCCGAGAGCGCACGCCCTGCGTGCTCCTAGCACACATGTCCGATACTCACGGAAAGGTCCCGATCTCCTCTTTCGATCTGGACCTTTCACAATCATGTGACCGCCGTGACGGCGTGTCACATGACTCTAAACCCTGCCCCCCCAGCTTATGAAACCCTTAAAGGGCCGGGAGGCGTCAGCATGAAGAGGTTAATTCACTTGTAATGTGCCTTTGAACTTGCTGGAAAAGTCTGGCACAACCTCCTCCCTCCACACATCATAACCCTCTACTGTTTTGGATTTGTCTAATTACTCTGTGCTGGCCCAGCTCCTCCACCCCTCTTCATCTCCCTACATAACCTTTGCGTAGCAGCCGACGGATGAGAGAAGGGAGAAAATATAAAAAGTGCTACTTGAGTGACAGCTCTGAGGCTGCTAGGGCTACTGACATCACAATCAAGATGGGGGCACCCAGCAGCAGTTTTGTAGCTTTGGGATGTCTACACAAGTGAGGCTTTCACAGGTAAATAAATGCATAAAATTAGTTAAATGCACATTGCTGGGAAGATTCCTGTTGAAATGGGCGGCCTGGCAAAAGGTTCTTAGACCTGATGTCCAATATAGTTTTTCAATTTAATGTATAACACTTAGCTATTTATTACCTCTCCAAGAGATCACAGTACACACCATTGACATTGGTTTCAAAAGACTCCACAACTTTTTTCATTCTTGCAAATTAACAATGTCTATTTGAAGGCTAACCATCTATAGTCACCTATGGGGGGAGGGGGAGTATGTGGTCTACTGCAATATTACAGTGCTTAAGGGAGTAGGATGACCACATTATACCTGTGTAAGCTCCAATACCTTTAGTCATTGAGCATAGGCAAGGTTTTACTCCAATAGAGAAATGGGGCATTATGGGAAAAGGGAGTATAAGCAGGGAATGCGCAAAGTCACTTTAACCACTTCCCGTCCGGCCCATGTATATATAAACGGTCGGATGGAAGCATTGCAGGAGCGGGTGGCCGTTTATAAACGTCCTCCCCGCTTCCCTGCTTGTGCGCGCTCATGAAGAGTAGTAAGCAACATGTCACTTCTGACATCATTGCTTACTGAGTGTGAAATCTGTGAATGATCACAGGAGTTCACATGGTACAATACTATTCACAACAGCCTTGTACCATGTGACAAGCTGTGACCAATCATAGCTCACATAGTATTTCTCAGTGGCAGCAAGAATGCAGCCAGAGAGAAAGAGAAATGATTGCTTTTACAGCCTTTATGGGTGTAAAAGCAATCAGTGTAAAGAAAAAAAATATTCATCACCCCCCACAAGTAATACAGTGTCACTATGGTGACACTGTACTGCTAGGGTGACAGTATGTTAAAAAAAATAAAAATAATATAAAAAAATGTAAAACTTTTTTTTTAAATTATACTTTATAAACTAATCTGGGTTATTTTAATTTTTTTACTAAAAAGATAACTGAATACCTTTTGGCCAAAATTTATGAAGAAAGATTATTTATTTGCAAAATTTTATAAGAAAAACACTTTTTCAAAATGTTTGGACTTTTTCATTTGTATAGCAAAAAGAAAAAGATTTAAATCCCAGTGGTGAATAAATACCACCAAAATAATGTTTTATCTGTCTCAATAAAATGCTAAAAAATTCTCCTAGATTCTAAGCTCGAAAGAGCAGGGCCCTCGATCCCCTCATGTTTTGCCTTGTATTGGTATTGTTCTGTCACGTTCTGTCCCCCTTTGTAATGTACAGCGCTGAGCAAACTATTGGCGCTTTATAAATACTGTATAATAATAATAATAATAATATGGGTACAGTGTTGCATGACTGCGCAATTGTCATTCACTGAAAGCTGAAAATTGGCCTGGACAGGAAGGGGGTGAAAGTGTCTGGACCTGAAGTGGTTAAGGTAAGTTTTACATGATGTGCGATGCATACTAGCACATTATGACATTACCTTGCAGGGGACTTTTTTTTTCCTGCGGTTTACTACCACTTTAAAGCTGAACTCCAGGTATGGGCTCAGTTGCATAGTTACAGCTTACACCAATATAAGTATACAATGTACATACTGTAGTAGTTGGTGCTACTGTAGTCATCATTGTGATCTTCTGGGTCCTATGCCAAGTGGCTTCTTCTTTGCATACTGACCACAGCTCATCACTTGCCCAGCACCATTGCCATTCACAGGACGTCTTGTATTTTTTTTTTTTAAATTAGGTGTTCTCCAATTTGATGAGGTGGAGAAAATAGGCTGTGATGTCATGATCTCCATCATCCAGTCCCAGGAAGCGCGCACAGGCTGTAAATGCGGGTGCTGTTTATGAAAGGCAACCAGCTCCTGCACGGCTCCCGTCCTGCAGTTTATGAACATGGGCCGGACGGGAAGTGGTTAAAATGAAGTCCTCCAGCGGCACACTGTCACCACTGCAGAGGCTTCCATCTTCACCCAGTATTCATTCTGGGTTTCGTGAGCTCCATCTGACAGGCCGGGCCGCGATGACGTCACTCCCACGCATGCACGCCGGAGTCCCGGCCCATGGCACACAGCTCTGGAGGAATAGCATGGGTTTGCCGTACCTTCAGAGCACATAAAGAAACAGAATATCTCCTAAACAGTGCACATTTAGGAAATATTCATTTTACCTACAGGTAAGTGTTATTATTTATTTACTACTACTTTAAGTGAACTAAAGGCTAGAGGGTTTTCTTAACCTGGGTTCCATGGTATCCTAGGGTTCCTCCAGAGGTTTCTAGGGGGTTCCTTGAGCACTGAGCAATTTCTGCCCCTCAGATAAGTTCCCACTGACACCATTGATCTTTTTATCAGTAGGGGTAATTCTTCCCAATGCCCTCAAGTGTGAGAAGCATTCTTCTCACTGACCATCACACTAATGTATCATTATTTGGAGATCTAGTCATTTTACCGGTTCCCCACCGCTCTATACAGAACTACTGCTACAGGGTGGCAGGGCTGCACGTGATTTTACATTTCCGGGTAGAGGGCGCACCGCTCTACCAGAGCCGCCATTGGTGGCTGCAGATGTCGATCACCGGGTCCTGGCTGGAAATTCCCAACCGGCACTCAGCGATCGCCGAGGAACAGTGGAAGTGTGTGTGAACAACACAGTTCTCTCCCCTGTCAGCACCGAAATGCTGCTGTGTATTGCTCTGCATAGCAGTGCAATACACAGCAGCATGTCTCCCTATTAAAAAACTTGGAGCACACGGTTAACCCTTTGATCGCCCCATATGTTAACCCCTCCCAGCCCAGAGCCATTAGTACACTGTCAGTGCTTTTTATTAGCACTGATCACTGTATTAGTCTCACTGTGGATGTCAGTGGCAGTTAGTTCCCCCCAGTGTCAGAATGCCCACAGCCCTGCGATAAGTCACTGATCGTCGCTATTACTAGTATAAAAAAAAAAAAAATTACAGTATATATACCATTTGTAAACGCTATAACTTTCACATAAACAAATTAATTTACACACATTGGGATTTGTTTTAGCAAAGACATGTAGCAGAATACGTTTGCCTAAATTTATGACGAAATTAGATTTTTAAAATTTTTTTAACTGGACGCGTTTTATAGCAAAGTGAAAAATACTGTTTTGTTTTTTTTTTCCAAAATTGTTGGTCTTTTTTTGTTTGTAGCGCAAAAAATAAAACCGCACAGGCAATCAAATACCACAAAAAGAAAGCTCTATTTGTGGGGAAAAAAGGGCATACATTTCATTTGGGTGCAGCATTGCATGACTACGCAATTGTCAGTTAAAATAACGCAGAGCCGTATCGCAAAAAATGTCCCGGTCAGGAAGTGGGGAAATCCTCTGGAGGGCAAGTGGTTAAGAAAGGGTTCCATGAGGCCAAAATGGTATTTCAAGGGTTCCTCTGTGTTAAAACGGTTCAGAAAGGCAAGATGAACAAAATTGATTAAGAAGGATATTTTAAAAACCTTGTTTCTGTGTAGTTTGTTAGTTTATAAACACTTTTTGAAAAGCATAAACTCTGTAGTCATTCAATGATATGAAACAGCTATAATGCCCCTGGAAGTCAGGCACCAGAGAGCCATAGCCTTGGCTAGCAGTGCTTCTCCTTTCATGGCCATACAGGAGTACTTATTGCTCAGATTATGATTTATTATTATACAGGATTTATAGAGCACCAAACACTTTGCTCAGCATTTTACAATATAATGAGAGACAGTACAGAAACAATACAGTTCAATACAAGAGGGATAGGAGGGCCCTGCTCCTAGGAGCTAACAATCTAGGAGATTTAGTTGTGCTGACATTCCCTAATGATTTGTGAGAAATGTGAATTGAGCGGTAAGTCCTCTACAACAGCTCAGTGTTCTTTTGTTCCCTGAAAGTGATCAATATGTGTATATGGACAACACAGCTGTCAAACATACCAAAAAGAGAAAATAATCAGCCTGATCTTCAGGTCTTTCTTCAATGACATGTTTCAGAGGTCATACAATGGACACACCTTGTCATGTCACAATGCAATTACACAAGCACAGTTAACCAGTAATGAATATTATCTCACTTTGGCAGTCAAATACAATAGCACAGCAGGAGTAGTCCCTCATTCACATCAAATGTTTGGATGAGGGAATCGGTTAATTTTTTTTTTATTCAAGCCACTTGTTGAATAAAAAAAAAAATTGAATGCATAGCTGGCTTGAAGCGGAACTTTACCCATAACAACTTGATAAAAAATAATGTTCTTTAGCAGGGAACATACATTCTACATTAATAATTATGCTACAAAAATTAGTGTGTGCTGTAAATTGCCTCCAGCACTGTTCCTGTTTCTTCTTGCAGGAGACTGCCATTTTGCTGAAGTCCAGAGCCCCTGAGCAGCAGTAAATCTTTAGGCTATCAGCAGATCAGCCTCTACAAATTTGAAAATTGAGTGTATCTGAGCATGTGCAGAGCAGGGTGAGACAGTGTATTTTATTTTATTTATTATATTTGCTATACCTGCAAAAGGGGCCATCCTGAGGTGATCTAGCAGGACTTAAATTGGTTGTAAAGGCTCAAGGCTTTTTTACCTTCATGCATCCTATGTGTGCAGCTTCCCCCCAGCCCCCCCACCCCCTAATACTCACCAAAGCCCCCTCTCGATCCAGCAATATTCACTGGAGTCCCCGCTATCCTGGGACTCCCTCTTCTCAATCACAGCCAGTGAGCCAATGAGAAAAGAGAGGGGGCGGGGCCTAGCCATGGTTCGGTGTGTGAATGGACACACGGGGCATCGGGTGCCCCCATAGCAAGATGCTTCCTGCAGGGGCACCCAACAGGAGGGAGGGGCCAGGAGAGCCTGTGGGGGACCCAAGAAGAGGAGGATCCAGGCTGCTCTGTGCAAAACTACTGCACACAGCAGGTAAGTATAGACATGTGTTTTACTTTTTTTCTTTAAAAAAAATAAACTTTTAGAATCACTCATTTTCTGACTCAAGCTCCACTTTAAAACTGGCCAAAGATCACTTATTTTTGATCAATCAGCGGGCCAAGGTGATCGAGGTGGATGGAGGAATCATCCCCATTGCACTACTGTATAAAGACAGCAGTGACTGCTCTGCTATCAGAATACACTGATCAGCACTGCAGCTGATTGGCTGCTATGCTGATCAAACACATTTTACAACAAGGTTTTTGTGAGGAGCTGATTAGATTGACTTCTCATGAACGGAATGGCCATAGATGGATTGAAATTCAGCTAGTCCCTGTTGAACCGGCCAAATTTCCATCCAGCTATGGCAAGCTTAAAGCACATTATTATTATTATTATTATACAGTATTTATAAAGCGCCAATAGTTCGCTCAGCGCTGTACATTACAAAGGGGGACAGAACATGTGACAGAACAATACCAATACAATGTGATACACGAGGGGTTCGAGGGCCCTGCTCTTTCGAGCTTACAATCTAGGAGGGAGGGGATGGTGGTACAGGAGGAGATAGCTGTGGGGGATGGAGTGGTAGGAAGAGTGGAGGAGGTCGGCAAGTTAGCAGGGGGTGGAGTAGGCTTCCCTGAAGAGATGGGTTTTCAGGGTGCGCCTAAAGGAGAGGAGAGTAGGTGATAATCTGATGGGTTGGGGCAGGGAGTTCCAGAGGATGGGTGACACCCTGGAGAAGTCCTGGAGGCGGGCATGGGAGGAGGAGACCAGGGAACTAGAGAGAAGGAGGTCTTGTGAGGAGCGGAGTGTGCGTGCTGGGCGGTACTTGGATATTAGGTCAGTGATGTAGTTCGGGGCAGTATGGTGGACAGCTTTGTACGTCAGCGTTAGGATTTTGAATTTGATCCGTTGCGCAATCGGAAGCCAGTGGAGGGATTGGCAGAGGGGGGTGGCGGAGACAGAGCGGTTGGAAAGGTGAATGAGTCTGGCAGCCGTATTCAGGATGGACTGAAGCGGGGATAGCCAGCGGCGAGGCAGGCCAGTGAGGAGGGAGTTGCAGTAGTCGAGTCGTGATAAGATGAGAGAGTGGATGAGCTGTTTAGTGGTTTCTGGGGTTATGAATGTGCGGATTTTGGCGATGTTGCGGAGGTGGAGTCTGCACGAGTTTGTTAAAGATTGGACTTGGGGCTGGAAGGATAGGTTGGAGTCCAGAATAACACCCAGTACTCTGGCCTGCAGGGCGGGTTTGATGGTAGCGTTGTTGGATGTGACGGAGAAATCAATGGGGGGTGTGTGTTCGGGCTGGGGGAAGACAAGAAACTCGGTTTTGGAGAGGTTCAATTTAAGGAAGTGGAGCGACATCCAGTCTGATATGTCGCTCAGTAGGTGTGTGATTCGGGCTGAGACCAAGGGGGTGAGGTGGGGGGTTGAGAGATAGATTTGTGTGTCGTCAGCATAGAGGTGGTAGTTGAAGCCGTGAGAGTGTATGAGTTGGCCAAGGGAGGAGGTATAGATGGAGAAGAGAAGGGGCCCGAGGACAGAGCCTTGAGGGACCCCAACAGAGAGGGGGAGTGAGGGGGAGGTGGTAGCATTATAGGTAACGCTGAAGGAGCGTTGTGACAGGTAGGATGAGAGCCAGGAGAGAGCAGAATCTCTGAGGCTGAGGGAGTGTAGTTTTTTTGAGGAGGAGGGGGTGGTCGACTGTGTCGAAGGCCGCAGAGAGGTCAAGGAGTAGGAGCACTGAATAGTGGCCATTAGCTTTGGCGGTTAGAAGGTCGTTGGAGAGTTTGAGTAAGGCAGTTTCGGTGGAGTGTAGGGGACGGAAGCCGGACTGTAGGGGATCGAGGAGGTTGTTGTCGTTGAGGTGAGAGCATAGGCGGGTGTAGACTAGGCACTCGAGGAGTTTAGATGTAAATGGGAGCAGGGAGATGGGTCTGAGGTTGTTCGGGTCATTGGGGTCCAGGGAGGGCTTTTTAAGTATGGGGGTGATGTGTGCATGTTTCAGAGGGGAGGGCTGTCACAACTTAACAATGCGGTCCTGTGGGGCTCTACCCACCCAGCCACATCATTCATTCACAGTTTCCTGTGAATGAATGAACTACAACTACCGTCATCATTCGCAATCAACTACCACGCCACTAGTGAGCACCGATTCTTCATACTCTTGGGTAACTGCCTGCCCGTACAATGTACAGGCAGACAGCTATCCTGAGAGTCTGCAGGAGACTGAGATTGCACCCACGATCTGCTGATCACAGGGGCAGTACTCTGCAGGCTCCTTAGAAAAATAAATAACGTCCTTTTTTTGACCTGCAAAAAATGTGCATCCATTATCTTTATCTTTCAAAAGGTGAATGTGACGAACCGTCCCTTTGTGATAACATTTTGCCCTTTCTGTTCCAGTTTTCTCCCCGGTGTAAAGCTGTATATGTTTCACAGACATTCTACACTGTTTGTTTAGGGTAATGTGACCTTGTAGTCTTTCACTTCTAATAGAGTTCATACTGTATTGTTGGTTGTAGGGTTTTGTTGTGGGTGGGGAAAACCCAGTGCCAGGCTGTCTGGTGGGGGTGAAGCTGTATATACTGAGCTGTGTTTAATAAAAGAGTCATTCATTTTCATCCTACACGAAGTTCCGTCTCGTCGTTTGGGAGAGCAGGGAAGGGAGTGTTTTGAGCTCTAATACCTGCCTTGGCAGAGCGCTGGAAGCCTTGCTGGAAAAGGGGACCATTGGCTGAGATGCATCACTCCGCGC